ACACTTTCAGTAACAGTATGTAACAAACTTATCATATACATTAAAAACACTCCAGAACTAGTATAGTGGCTCACATGTGTAAAGCCAGCATTAGGGACATAAAGGCAGGAGATAGGAGAGTTCAAGGCTACCTTCAAGTATAAAGCACGGATAGGTACTCAGGGTAGTGGTAAGACGCCCAAATAAGTAAGCAAGCAACCCAACAAATCAGAGTTTACATGCTAAACACCACTCACACAGTGAAACACCTACGCTGTGAATAAACCATACTCACAAAGTCTCACAACTAACACAAGGTTTCAGTAAAACTCCATCCTGAAATAAATACCTTCTGTTTTTCTCGGTAGTCTTCTCCTTCAAAGTTATAAACACTAGACTCTGTATCCATTGTGAAATTTCTAAGAGAACTCTCACCCATCTTGGAGAGCTTTTCATTCATCTCTGCAGTCTACACAGAAAAAAGAAAAACAAAACTCATTATATTGAAAGGAAAATAATCTCAAGACCTTTAGTCAAAACACATTAGCCTTTGGGGGCTAGAGATGGCTCAGCAGTTAAGAGCACTTCTTGCTCTTCAAGATAACCTGGTTCAAATTCACAAGACGGCCCACAACTATATTTAACCCCAGTTCCAGGGGATCCAATGGCTTCTTCTTGCCTCCTTGGGTAACAAGTACACTGTGATGCACATACACCCATGCACAGAAAATATTTTAACAAAAGATCATGACTGAGGAAGTATTTTATCTCAAGTAGTTTTAGTCTAAACCCTCGGGTACAAAGAAAGCTTGAATTTTCCAAACTTCAAGAGACATCCAAATATCCAGAAATGAGACCAATCTGAACTACAGACAGGTAGATAAAAGCCAGCATTCCTCAGGAACTTGTCAAGCCAGTTCCAGCTACCAAAGGGAGTCATTTCCCTTGCCTCTGGCAGTCCCCTACCTGTGGCACTTTCAGCATATCAAAGTCCATGCTGGCCTCCAGGCTCTCTCAGCATCACCAGCACCTATTTTACATTTCAAAGTCCATGCTACCTTGCTAGCATCCTAGCCTTTCTCACTTTCTCCCCTATGTTAACTCCAGTTTCTCAGCTTCCTTCCTACCAGCTACTCATCCTTCTTACAGCCTAGCTGTTTTCCCCACTCTGTTCTCTGGCTGTTCTCTTCCTTTATCTACAACCAAAACACTTCCCCTTAAACGAGTTAAATGGGCAGGCAGGCTGTCAGTTTATCTGTAAACTATTTCTGTTACAAACCATTAACATTTACTATTCATCTTCTTACCTTCTTTGCACCCCTTTCCAAAATACCATCAATATCTTCATCAGTGATTTCACTTTCTTTTGACGCAAACACATGTGTGGCCCCATGTCGAATCATTTGAAGCATTTCATCTTTCCCAATTTTGTTCAGGTTCTGATCTACAAGCCTCCCTGGGAGGGCGGGGGGAGATTGTGTTGTATTATATTAATCTTAAGTTTAAATTAAAAATAGTGTTGGGTGATAATTTTTTTTAAATATTTAAATGTTAGAGGCAATCCCACCTGTTTACTAGTAATTTACAAGTGATCAAGCTCACTAGTATATTAAACTTAATGCCACATTTTTCAGCTGGTTAAGTTTTGAAATATTTCTAAAGCTTACATATTACATAACGTTATCTACTATATACTGGCTTTATAAAATGTTTTTTGATAGTATTTGAGATATTTGAAAATCAAGTTACTGAGCAAAGCGGTGCATGCATTTAATCCCAGAACTTGGGAGGCAGAGGCAGGCCAGCCTGGTTTACATAGTGAATTCCAGGACACTCAGTTACATATGGTGAGTATCTGTCTCAAGAACAAACACACAGAAAATCAAAGAGGAAGTCTTACAAATTTTTACATTTGTAAACATTATAAACAAAAGATATCATATCAGAAAGATGATATTGCTCATCTTTCCCAGTTGGCTTCTTCTTAGAAACAGAAATACATTATCTCCATTGTGTTTTGATTTTATATAAGAACAGGTGCCTTTAATCCCAATACTGGGAAAGCAGAGGTAGGAAAACCTTGTGAGTTCAAGGCCAGTCTAGTCTATTTAGCAAAGTCTAGACTAGTCAAGGCTATACAATACAGAAAGCCCTGTTTGATGAACCCAAAGCTTTTGAAAACTTAGTTTGATCACAGAAAAGAATACAACATTAATAAATTAAAGATCTTCAAGAGGTAGGAATTTAGTCAATCTTAATTCGTGTTTTCACAAATACAGGCAAAGTATGTATTCCAAAAGGCTGATCTGATACAAGAACTTGGAAGTTCCCCTCAATCGAGCCAACCCCCTCTAGTCAGTCCTGTGTCTAGTCAAAACTGTCTCCCCTACTAAATTTTAAAGTTCCTTGAAAATAAGCATGCCTGGTTCACTTCTTGCTTTAGTCTTAGCAGTAAGAACAGTGCCTGGCATAGTTCCAGATTAAAAAAAAAAAGGAAAACACTTTGTGCCTTTCATTTCTTCAGTATCCCCTGGTGGTTGTCAATCTGCTGAATTGTCACACACTTTAATATATTACCCAATTTAATGCTTAAAAAATTTTAAACATTACTTTTATTTCCACTTAAGTGAAATATGAGGCTTAGGCAGAAAGAAACTATTAGCTAGTGAATACTAAAATCAACTTAACCAAGTTTAAAATCTACTCCTTAATAACAAAATTAAAGTTTAAAATATCTGGAATATAAGCCATCTTGGCTTATATTTAAGGACTCCAGGTGCTTAAAATCTCTAAGAAATCATCAGACAGAAACATGTTGCTATCAATGCAACGTGGGAAATTATCTGAAATAGGCCTCACCTTGTTGAATGACTATCGAATCCAGTCTGAGTTTCATCTCGGCACATTCTACTATTCTTTCAGTTATAAAGCAAAACACTCGGACAATCTTCGTTTGTCCAATTCTATGTGCTCGGTCCTAGGAGAATTGAATTATGTCATTTTGAATTTAGCTAAAAAGTCAAATAATATAAAAATGTATAAGAAGCAAAATTAAATTATTTATAAAGTATAAAATTTTTTTTCATACACTTTTTTTATATTTATTTATTTATTATGTATACAATATTCTGTCTGCAGGCCAGAAGAGGGCACCAGACCTCTTTACAGATGGTTGTGAGCCACCATGTAGTTGCCGGGAATTGAACTCAGGACCTTTGGAAGAGCAGGCAATGCTCTTAACCACTGAGCCATCTCTCCAGCCCCTAAAGTATAAAATTTAACACTTATAAAATAATACGGATTCGCCAGGCGGTGGGTGGTGGCATATGTCTTTAATCCCAGCAAATACAAGGAAAGCTTCCTAAGACTAGAGGAAATCATAGCCGTTTATGAGACAAGGCTAACCACATAAATAACACAAATGCAATGATAACTAGCTAATAGGTAAAACTGTAATTAATATTTCAGTTTGATGATGATTTTTCCTTGAATTTCATCTCAAATATTTTTTCCTCACGAAGTTAATGAAATCTGTTTTGGTTTGTTTCTGTGTTTCGAAACAGAATTTCACTGTATAACCCTGGCTGTCCTGAAGCTCAGAGATTCACCTGACTCTGCCTTCTGTATGTTGAGATTAAGGATGAAAGGTGTGGGTCACCACCACCTGGCAAAATTAATGAATCTTCATTGTCACTATTAGGAAAATAAAAATGACCTTCACAAATGATATATAAATATTTAAATATTACAGTTACCTAAATACATTCAATCAAATTAATTTGTATGTTAATCTCTATTTAACTTCTGGTAAATTCACAAAGCACATACCTCCAACAAACACCTTCCTTCTAATAATTTACCAATATCCCTTAAGCACCCACCCTTACAGAGAGTACAAGACAAAGATGACCGAGGTAGATATCTCAAAGTTGTGCTCATAAACACCAACACTCGAGGTCAAGTCAATAGTCAGAATGCAGTTCACATTAGTTTGTGGACCATGAATTTACCCAGCCTTAGAATATACTTTCTCATGTGGCCAGACACTACGAAAATGAGCATATATGTTTAGGTGTTCCAAGTGGCAGATGAGCTAGCTGCTCACCAAACTGATTTCTCTTTTCTCCCAAAGCACAACTATACTTATTTGCTGATCCTCTTAAATTCTATTAAGTGATAGTAAGCACTCAGCTCTAAATGGGACATCTTTATCAACCTCCCACCCCAGTCAAGGGCTCTCCAAGAACATCAAAAAGAGGTGGGAGAGAAAGAATCTAACAGCCAGAGAACAGATGGAAACACTATGGAATGCTGTCTTCTCCTGTATATAACACATCCATTGCAGGCACCAGCCCATAGCGGTTGTGGTTACCTGAACAGAATCAATCGTTCAAAATTCCAGCCGTTGAGACCCCCATCCCTACCCAAGGAGCTAAGTAACTGCTACTGGGGGAATTGAGAATCTTGTTTTCTTTGGATGTAGACACTGGTAAATTGCCCTTGCTTCAGGAGATGGCCCCATATACAGGTGCACTACTTAAAAAAACAAAACAAAACAAAACATGAAGTTGACAAGGGGAGGATGTACTTTCATGAGTTCAAGAGTAGGGGTAAGCAAGGGCAATGGGAGATGTATATGATCAAGATAAACTATATACAAGTATGATACTATCAAAGAATAGCTTTAAAAGTATATTTATAAAAAGAGTTATGTCCGAGGAGATAGTCAAGCAGGTAAAGGAACTTTCTGCCCAGACCTAATGACCTGAGTTCAATCCTTGGAAACCAGATGGTGAAAATGTAAGACTCCCAAGTGGTCCTTTGACCTCTACAGATGCAGGAGGCAGAGATGTGCCAAAATAAAGTTCGGCCAGGCACGCCTTTAATCCCAACATTTGGGAGGCAGAGACAGGTGGATTTCAGTGAGTTCGAGGCCAGCCTGGTCTACAAAGCGAGTTGCAGGACAGCCAGGACTACACAGAGAAATCCTGTCTCGAAGAAAAAGAAAGCAAGAAAGAAATTTCTACTAGGTTAAATCAGGGATGTTTATAGAATGAACAGACACTACCTAAGACATCTACTAAGCACACAAAGTATTTACTTGTTATCTCTTACCATAGCCTGAAGATCAACTTGGGGATTCCAATCCGAATCATATAAAATGACTACATCAGCAGTTGCAAGGTTGATGCCCAGACCACCAGCACGTGTGCTCAGCATAAAAACAAACTTTGTGCTATTTGGTTCATTGTATGCATTGATGGAATCCTATGGGAATAAAATAACAAGCATTAGAAACTTTCATTATATGTGTTGTAGGATGGGTTATTCTTTTTGTAATCTCACTATGTAGCCCCAGCTAGTCTGAAACTACGTAGACCAGCTACTACCTCTTGGGTGCTGGGATTAACGCACAATCTACCACCTGCTCCTACTGCAGTTTTCCAAGCAGCTGGGACTGCAGATGTATGCCATTATGATTGGCTTAGAAAATTATTTTATATAGGGCATCGTAGCACATACCTATAACCCCAGCACTCAAGAAGAGGCACACAGATCAGAAGCTCAGGATCATACTCATCTACACAGTGAATTCCAAACCAGCCTGGCATATGTAAGTCCCCGACTGAAGAGATGGCACTGGCTGCTCTTCCAGAGGAGCCTGTTTGGTCTCCAGCACCCATGACAGCTCACAACCATCTGTAACTCCAATGCCTAATCTGGCCTCCTTGGGGACCAGGTACACACAAGGTGCAGAAATACATGCAGACAAAACAATGATACACACAAAATAAAATAAATTTTAAAAAAATGTATTCTTAAAAAATCACATATTCTAATACAATACAATGCTAGCATATAATGACTTGGCACATTCTAACAGAACATGAAATCATTATGTGATTGTTTTTTTTAATCTCCCCAGACTTCTTTACTTACTTGTCTCTCATCATGGGGTGTCTGACCATCCAATCTGCAGTATTCATAATTTCTCCACATGCAATAATCTTCCAAAATGTCTAATACCCTTGTCATCTGACTGAAGATTAGTACTACTGAACATGACACACATAAATAGACCATTGTCAAAAGATTTCTAATAAAAGTTTTTATTTTAAAAAAATTCAAGAGTAAAAAAGTAGGACTAACAAATTATCAATCAATTCCAAATCACTTACTTTGGTTAAAAGGATAAAAATGGCATTAGTAAATACCCAGGTCAGCCATTCTCCACCTTCCATCAAGGCACACACACACAAAAAAAGTGACGTGTACAGCAAGCTAAGGTAAACTGATTTAGGAGACTGAATCATTAGTCTATTACCTCGTATATATTAAAAGAAGTCTTACAGCACTCCACAACCTTTCTTTAAACATGATCTCTTGAGTTACCCACACCCCTGAAGTCCCTAAAACATTTCTAATTATGAAAACAGTTTAACTCAATAGAACACAAATGTGTGCCTGATATTTATATCAGAAGAAATCCTTCACTTATCTGCCACAACTCAAATTATTCTACTGGTTTTCTCACAAGTCAGGTACAGAACATCTTCAGCAAAATAGATGACAGAGGAATTGTTGAGAACACTTGGTTATGGTAGGAGCCTAACTCAATAACGAGGCTGACAGCCTAATGCATAAGAGCGTTTCAGTCTCTATGTCCTTAGTGTTCAATGTAACTCTCATCAACATTTAATAGCCTCTCAAGTTCCTGTCCCTTTCACCTACCATGTGAGTCTTTAATTACTCAGCTATTTCCATAAAAAATTACAAAAAGAAAAAAGCAAGCCAATTCACTAACAACCACAATGTTGTTTTTGGCTATCATTATCAAGGTCCATCTATTTGTACAACAATATTTCCTTCAAACGTTATACCTGTAAGCACAACTGAAGGAATTTGAAAGCTCACTATACTCTTGATACTACAAAAATCTATTTCATTTACTGATAATTATCTTATAATGCTGATATACAAAATGCTATAATGAATGAGATGTTTCAATTTATCTAGAACTATATATGTGTCTCAGGCACATCTGAGACTTATATTAATTGTGTATTGCAAACAATACATAATAAGGGACTAGAGACATGGGGGCATGTGAAGCTCTCCTTCAGTAAGACATGTAAATTAGATTAGAGACCTTGGTATGAGGAAATATTTGTTTAACAATCAATAAATACACCTTTGCATGGCTGTTCGGGGGTTTAGTACAGCAGAGCGGTTGGTCCCTCCTACTGCCACACAGGCCTGAAGATTTCATCTTGGGCAGGACAATGATGGCATGCACCTTTAATCTTAGCACTCAGGAGGCAGAGGCAGGCAGATCCTTGTGAGATCAAGGCCAGCCTGGTCTACAGTGCGAGTTTCAGGACAGCCAGGGCTATACTGAGAAACCCTGTCTCGAAAAACAAAAATAAAATATTTCATCTTGAAGTGCCTTCTTTCTTCAACCAATCCATAGTACACAGAGCACCCTGATATCTGGCACTCAACAGGGGCAAGAGGAAAGAAGGGTCCAAATACCTTCTCCTGCTCGTCTTGGATTTCATTCATGGCATCTTCAGACAGCAGGTCTGCAGAGAGCGTGTCCTGTGAAGAAACTCTATCTTCATTGGCCTGCATTGTCTGGATAAACTGTATCTTCATTGGTCTGCATGTCTGGATATTGAGCTGCATCTTCAGGAGGGCCCTTCTTTTCATTAATGAGACTTGTAATATCTTCATACAGCATGGCTGCAGTAGTTATATTCATGGAACTAATTGTGTGTCCAAAGTCCTGATACTGGCCCACGGGTGAGGATGTATTTGATCGTGGACAACCTGCATTGCGAGGCAATGCAGACAGTAGACTGGTGTATTCTGTATGTTCTGGGTCTTCGGGGAAACGTTTTGTTTTAGCATGCCCTCGCACTGTTCTTTCTATAAGATAATATAAAATTAATAGCCAAAGTTATTTTTAGTACTGTAAACAAAATTCTCTAACCACTCCCTTTCCTTCTTTGTCTTCCCCAAATCTGAAGAGCCTGTATCATGGCACTGCTTTACACATTTTCTCATTTCTTAAATTACTAGAGTAAATGACCTTCTCTTACGTATTTGGGTCAGGGTGCCACAGGTTTGTAGTCCCTTCGGTAGCAAGGCAGATATAGGATCCCTGGGGCTCTCTGATCAGCCATCCATTTGTGAGCCCCAGGACAGCTAGGCCCTGTTTCAAAACCCAAGGTGAACATCCCGAGGGAACACACCTGAGGTTCATCTCTGACCCCTCGCACACACACACAAACCTACCTTCCCAATATACACACTTACACTAACAGAAGTTAAACAGCTGTTACTTACCGACACGTTTCACTTGCTCCGAGAAATCACATTTTATATCTGACACATCCCACATGGCAAGGAAGGAGTCGAAGCAGGAGCCTTTCACTGCCTCTCGCACGTAGGGTTCGACCGAAAACAAATAATTATGGGCAACTGCCACAAATAACATCTCTATGCAAGTGATGAAATCCTACAAAAGCCACACAAAAATCAGACATCTTTGGGCTTCGATCTAATTTTTCAAATTGCTACCTTTTCAAAGTTACTTAGAGTATTAATAACTTTGAAATATAATCTAGTTTATATTCCTTTTTCAACATTTTTCCCCACAAGCAAGATTTACATCTCTTTTGCTTTCCCTCATTCAAGAATTTCTTAATGTATTACATAAGCAATGAAAGGCACCATGCAGATATTAAGTGGACCAGGAATAAAATGAGTACCAATCAGTTCCTATGGGCCATTTCTCTCGGGTTCTCGCTCCTCACTACAGAGTAAGCTAACAAACAGTCTTGCCCAATGTTTGCACGTTGGCAGGTTCTGGGCATCACTGCATTAAATAGCTTAAACAGTAAACCCCCTGAGTTCAGAGACAGCCCTACTTACTTGAAGGCCTGTGGCCACAGCTTCGGCACTTTCCCATTCCCATGTTCGCTGTTTCGATATAACTCCAGCCTTAACCAACACTGCTATAATCACTGCTTGCCTGGATGTCAAGAAGAGTTAAATGTCAAATCTAAATCATGAAATGACCAGCTGTTTTAAGAAATTAGAGGTTAGGGAGGTGGCTCGGTGGGCAAAGCACTTGCTGGACAAGTGTGAGGAAGGTCCCAAGTAAGGCTGGCATGTAGCACACACATGCAAGCCACTTTTGCCTCCCAAGTGCTGAGATTAAAGGCACGTGTCATCATACCTGGATAATTACTAGAATCAAAAAAGTTACTATTTATTTTCGGCCGTGTATGAGATCGGAGGACAACCCGCTGACGTCATTTCTTTCCATCTACTGTGGGCTCTTGGATGGAACTCCCACTGTCAGACTTGGCAATGGCAGCCTCTTTTCCTGCGGACCCAAGCCACAGCTCTACCACTCTGTCTTATTCCCCTCCCTTTATGATTAGTGTGGCAGGGTCCCAGGGGGCAGCTGTGACCTCTACTTCTGCTTTTACATGGGTGCTGGGGATCAATCTCAGTTCTTTGGTGTGCACAGCAAGGGCCTTGCTGTGTAGAAGACTGCACATGAATGTGACCTCAGATGCTATTCATTACTCTGGCAGTGCAATTCCATGAATTTTTTTCTCTTTTCCCCTTACTGAACTGCTAAACTGGATAGATTTGCCTATGTAACTCTTATTACCTAGCCTGTTGCTAATCTAATACCATGTCTAGGTGGTGTGGGAGAATTATCTAAGAGTCTACCTAATGTAGACTCTGTGTGATTTTCTTTGGGACTTGCGGGCTGTGTGGTACCGGGCAGGACAGAAACCCCAAGAAGCCGGCCCTCATGTTACAGAATGGCACCCACGTGGATAACTGCATCCACAGAAAGCCTGAGAAAGCTTTGGAAAGACTAGAGTAAAGCATTTAGGTTTTCACCCGTAGCAGGAAAAAAGTTGCATTGTTTTAAAATGTCAGCTTTCTGGGCCGTCCTACCAGGGCAAACTCTGACTCTTTCAGGCAGGCAATCCGACTGAGTGTGGTCTGCGAGCAGAATGCTGCAGCTTGCTTGCTGGCAAGGACCTTGAAATGCCATAGAGTTGTGGCAATAAAAATGGCTACACCCGGTACCTTCGCAAAGATGCTGGAAAGCTAAGGAATGGGCAGGAGGCTAGCCGTCAAAGCCACGGCTTTATCCTCTCCATAAAGACTCATGTGGTCAGAAAAAGAGAGATTATATAGTAAAGAGAGATTCATAGACGAAAAAACCTCTAAATGGTTTACAGAGTGTTAAAAATACATGCAGGCTAAAGGTTAAAGTTCTTAAAAGTATATAAAAAAAAGAGAGTAGTTGGGTGTGGTGGTACACGTCTTTAATCCCAAAACCTGGAAGGCAGAGACAGACCTCTGTGAATTCAGGGTGTGGTGGCAGACACCTTTAATCCCAGCACTTGGGAGGCAGAGGCAAGTGGATCTCTGTGAGTTCAAGGACAGCCTGGTCTACAGAGTTATTCCAGGACAAAGATATACAGACAACCTGTCTCAAAGAGTAAAAGTAAAAATAAAAGAAATACAGGTTAAAGTCAAGACACATAAAGATGGAAAATACACAGAGAATCTTGACACTGTATACTATTATACTTTCTTTGAATTGTTTGAATTCTGAGGAAGGAGCAACAGATGCTAAAAGACTTTTGCTTATAAATGCTGCTGAACAAACCCAAGATATGTATTTTGAAATACCTTGACTCTTCAACTGAAGAGATTTTGCTTTTGTTTCCACAGAAAATGAGAGGCTGTGGATTCATTCTGAGTTAAGAAAAATCCAGTTTGGGGGGCTGGAGAGATGGCTCAGAGGTTAAGAGCATTGCCTGCTCTTCCAAGGGTCCTGGGTTCAATTCCCAGCAACCACATGGTGGCTCACAGCCATCTGAGCTGATATCTGATGCCCTCCTCTGGCCTGCAGACAGACACACAGACAGAATATTGTATACATAATAAATAAATAAATATTAAAATAAAAAAAAAAGAAAAATCCAGTTTGATCAAAGAAGACGACCTGAGAAATCTCCGGTAGGAACAGAAGGCCCAGATGTCTGACTTCTACATCCAGAACAAATTCAAGATGCTGACTGAGATGATCAGATCTTGACTATAACTCTAAATTTTCTAAAGGCGCCGTAAGATTATCAGCACCCCCAACCAGCCGGAAGTAACCTGGAATACTACGCCCACATTACCAACAAATGGACTATGGATACTTTCCTTTTTTTTTTTTTTTTAAGAGGGGGAAGTGGTGTGGGAGAATTATCTGTATTCTGTCAATCATGTATTTTAAAAAAGGCTGATTGGCCAGGCAGAAAGTATAGGCAGGTCAACCAGACAGGAAGTAGAGACAGGGCAATGAGAATAGGAGAAGGCTAGGAAGGAGGAAGCCCATTCCTCCATTCCTGCCCAGAACAAAGAGAAGCAAGATTTAATCTGCCCTGCTGGAAAATGTACTAAGCCACATGGCTAACACAGACAAGAAATATGGGTTACCTTGAAATGAAAGAATTAGTTAATAAGAAGACTGAGCTAATGCGCCAATCAGTTTATAACCTAATGTAGACTATGTGTGATTTTCTTTGGGACTTGCTGGCTGTGGGGTACCGGGCGGGACAGAAACTCCAACAAGCCAGCCCTCATGTTACATCTAGGGTTGTTTGTCTGCTTTGTGACACTGAGGACAGACAGTAGGGCCTTGTATACACTATGCAGACATTCAAATGTATCTCCAAACCAACCTTGTATTTTAAAGGACACGCACTGATAAACATTTGCCCATGCCATTAAATGTCTTCTCCTAAACTGATACTGTTTTATTCATGACAATCATAATTTTAAGCAATTTATTTTATTCATTTTGAGACAGGGTTACACTGTGTACCTCAGACTGGCCTCACACTTGCTATGTACACCCGGATAGCCTTGATCTCATAGAGAACCACCTGCTTCTGCCTCCCCGGGAAGTGCTGGGATTAAAGGGTACACTACCACACCCAAGAGAACTATAATTTTAACGATGGTATCAAGACAGTTAGGCTATCTCAAATTATCTTCATCTTTTAAATGTCATAGTGGCAATCTGATTGCTTCGTTGATTGTTTAGATACAAGATCGTAAACCGTGTCATAGGCTAATCTACATCTTGCTGTATAGAGCAGGCTGTCATCAAACTCAATGTGAGATTCTCTTGATTAACCCTGAGTGTTGGGACTACAGGTATATACTACCACACATGACTAAGATTGTGTTTTTAAAATGCTTTTAAAAACTGTTTTTTAGGGGCTGGAGAGATGACTCAGTGGTTAAGAGCACTGCCTGCTCTTCCAAAAGTCCTGACTTCAATTCCCAGCAACTGCATGGTGGCTCACAGTCATCTGTAATGAGGTCTGGTGCCCTATTCTGGCCCGCAGACATACACAAAGACAGAATATTGTATACATAATACGTAAATAAATATTAAAAAAGGTATTTGTGTAAGTTTGGCCTGCATATGTATATATAAGTAGAGTATCTGCAGATACCAGAAGAGGACATTAGAAGGACCTGGATCTGAAATTGCAAAGGGTTGTGACCACTAACTTAGTTGGTGTTGGGAACTAAACCCAGATCCTTTGAAAGAATAGCAAGGGCTCTTATCTGCTGAGCCATCTTTCCAGCCCTGTTTTTGTAAATCTTACAAAAGCTAAACGGATAGGTTTAAAAAAAAATTGTGATGCGCGAGTGAGAGCACATGTGTGTGTGTGTGTGTGTGTGTGTGTGAGAGAGAGAGAGAGAGAGAGAGAGACAGAGACAGAGACAGAGACAGAGAGACTGAGACTGTGCAAGTATGTGCATGTGTTACACATGGTCAGAAAGGCTTCAGGTCCCTAGAACTAGAGTGACATGAGGTTGTGAGTCGTCATACATGGCTGCCGGGGACAAACTACGATCCTCTGGATATGCAACCAACTCTTAACTGCTGAGCCTCTCTCCAGCCCAAGGATGTCTTCCTGGTTCAGGCTGGCCTTGAACTGGTGGTCCTGCCTCAATTTCCCAAGGGCTGGGACCACTGAGTCTGGCATTGTCTTCACATTACTGTAAAAAACTTCCTTAATCAACAGTTTTATTGGCGTTTATAAAGAAAGAATATTTAAGAGCACGCAATACTTACCAGAATGAGACAATGACTACCAATTTAATGCAAAAAAATTTTCGAAAAGGTTGTATAGGACTGAGCTCTTCTTCCAGCACTTTGTAAAACAGCATGACGCAGTACACGGCAAACTAGAAACAAAAGCAACATTCATCGTTCTGCAGCAGGAAGACAGGGACTGACTATTAAAGCCGTAACCAGAGCCTGCTCTACAGGAACATTCCAGGCGGAACTTAAGGCTAATTAGTCAATGTGTTACTGCAGAGGTATATCTGTGAAATTTCTCAAGACATATGGAACATTTTCCCTGAACATGTTTCTAAGTATTCACATACTGTAATTCAAGCAATGAAAAAAATGACAGGAACAGAAGAAGAGATTTCCTTCAGTCAAAAGAGAAGGGAAACATACCTGTTAAGCTTTTAAACACAAATTACCGTTACTTTTATAAAAACTCTATTATTATTATTAGTAGTAGTAGTTTTAGTATTATTATTATTAGCTAGTCTCTTGTGTAACATTTACACAACACACACGGTTTATAAATCAACACACTAAATAAGTACAGTTTCAATAAAATTGTGACCATGAAATCTACATCATACCAATTTCCTTGAGAGCAGTCTGTTAGTCCAGCTGGCCTGACTTCTTAGAATAAATGTTCATGACGTTAGAGTCAGTTCTAATAACCAACCAGGACTTCAACAGCAAGAAGCATCTCTGAAAGCTTACTTTCCCCATTAAAATGATAAGACACTTTATGATTTAAACTACTCCAGGAAAGGAAAGCAGTAAGGATCCTTCTTCAGATCCTTGCAGTGGAGTCAGGGCCAAGCAAGGTGCGTGTCCTACACTCACGGGCCCTGGGTTCTAGCTCTAGTACTGTTAAAAACAAAAAACCAAAAAAAATAAATTGAGGGCCTAGCGGTGGCGGCACACACCTTTAATACCAGCACTCAGGAGGCAGAGGCAGGTGGACCTCGGTGAGCTCGAGGCCAGCCTGGTCTACAGACCAAGTTTCACGACAGGCTCCAAAACTACGGAGAAACCCTGTCTCAAAAACTCTAAAGCAATAGCAACAACAAAAACCAAAACAAACTGACTCTCGGCACCGAGCCATTTCTCTGTACTTATGAACTGTTACCCTATTAGGCTGGGATAATACCCAGGGTTGTGTGCTAGGCAAACACTCCACACTCCACCAGTCACAACCCAATTTTCTAACATCTGTCATGAACTAAAATAAAATTTTGTTCCCCAATACTGTTTTCAAATAAAAGTAGCTGACTTTTGTGCGTTTTTCTTAAATATTACTTTTAATATCTATCTAAATGCCACTGGGAAGAACAAACTATGCCCACCCAATGAAGAGCTTAGTCCTTTCTTATAATGGGTATTACATTCTAGAAGGCAAAGCACTTCAGATCATTTCTGTAGACTACATTTCCAGAAAAAGGACTACAGGTCATGACGGCAACATGAGGGAAATCTCTGGAGACATACCACATTTATTTCCATTAAAAATGGTTTTGTTTGTTTTGTGTGTTTTGAGACAGGCTTTCTCTATGTAGCACTGGCTGTCCTAGAACTCACTTTGTAGACCAGGCTGGCCTCACACTCAGATCTGCCTGCCCCTGCCTCCTACCTTCTGGGATTGAAGGCATGCGCTGCCATGACCCGAACCATTATAAACTTCCAACACTGTGTGTGGGCCACTGTATTTCAGTTACTACACTTAAGGAAGCACCACCCAAAGACACTCCTTACAGCCCTTAAGTTCCTAGAACAGCACCCATTTTTTTTTTTAAATACTTCAGTCTTGGCGGGCAGTGGTGGTGCATGCCTTTAATCCCAGCACTTGGGAGGTGGAGGAAGGCAGATCTCTGTGAGTTTGAGGCCAGCCTGGTCTACAAAGCAAGTTCCAGGACAGCTAGAAGAACCGTTACACAGAGAAAAATCAAAACAAACATAAACCAAAAAAACTTCAGTCTTTATTTTCCTTTAATTCTAAATACAGATCAGACAATTGAGTTCTTTCTTTTACTTTTCTTTTTTGTGTTTTTTTGAGACAGGGTTTCTTTGTGTAGCCCTGGCTGTCCTGGAACTCACTCTGTAGACCCAGCTAGTCTCAAACTCAGAGATTTGCCTTTATGCTGGGATTAAAGGAGTGTATCACCACCACCTGGTGAATCCTTCCATTTTTATTTAAACTTTATCCTTTTGCACCAATTAGACTTTCCCTCTAACTGAACAGGCTGACTGTGTTATGGTCTGCTCATTTAGAAGCACACAATGCTTTTACCCACAGCTATGCAGTAACAAGGGCAAACAGGTGTGCATGTAATCACCAAACCATCCATGAACATATTACCGTACTTTTATATACATTAAAGCTGTTTCAAATTCCATGTACAAATTAAAAGGTAATATTTTTCTCAAGAAAAGTGCCTGATAATACTCAGCAACAGAAACTAACTTAGTACAGCTACGGGGAATGATGGTTTACTTACCACTTGTGACAGGGTATTTAATATACCCAAGTAAGTCCAAGCACTGGAGAAACTAAAGTGCCCTTCACCGTAGACACCAACGAGCTCACATACCCTTAAAAATGGCAAAAATCAACATTATGACTAACCAAGGAAACCCATATCTTAATGTCTCCTTTAGAGACTTATTTTATGTATATGAATGTTCTACTGCATGCAGACCTGTGCACAGTGTGTGTGCAGTGCCTTTGGAGGCCAGAAAAGGGTGCTGGCCACGCTGGCCCTAGATTTTACTGAACCCGAGTCCTCTGCAGGAGTACGGGGTGCTCTTAACCCTGAACACACACGTAAGGGATGATGGCAGCACTTCTTAGATTTCTGAGACCATTTACTTCAGCAGTGCTATGGATCATCTCTTGACTCTGGTCACGGACAGAGAAACATTCTTCTAGATGTGTATGATATCATTATTCCTTCTACCTTAAAGGAATGACAAACTCAGCATCATTAAACTAGAGCATCATCACTAACTTCAAAAGACAAGGCCTGATTTTGGAAAGTGTGACGGATAAACATTGATGCCAGCTCACCTTTTCCCTGTAAACTATCTGGTAGATGTGTATCTATCTGCAGACCCAGACACCCCCACCCCCGCAAGTAATTTTTAGCCTAAGTACTGGGTCTTGCGCTCATCTGGTTTCTAAGCAGCAAACAAACAAAGCTTAAGCCATAAAGCACTCCAGCTGGAAGGTAGAACAAAGAGCTGACCTGGTGTGTTTCAGCGTGGCTGTCTTTATTTTGTGAACGGCAGAACTCTGAGGTCTAACCAAGGAATCATATAAATCGACACTTTGGATATTTTGGGGAACGTTTCCGAGGTAGTTTGATTATGCTTCATATTTTGACATCAAATGGTTTTTGTCTATGAAGACCAGGCTGGCCTCAAACTCACAGAGAGCTGCTTCCCTCTGCCTCCTCAGTGCTGGGATGAAAGGTGACACCAGTAAAAGACTGGTGTAGAAGGTCCTTCTGTTTGCGTGTGGCTTTCATTGGTTAATAAATAAAGAAAATGCTTTGGCCTACTTGATAGGGTGGAACTTAGGTAGGTGGAGAAAACAGAACTGAATGTTGGGAGAAAGAAAGGAGAGTCAGAGAGAAGCCATGGATCCTCTGCCTGAGATGGATGCTGATTACAATCTCCAGTAAGCCACTGCCACGTGGTGATACACAGATTAACAGAGATGGGTTAAACTAATATGTAAGAGTTAGCCAATAAGAAGTTAGAGCTAACGGCCAAGCAGTTTTCATTAATAGTTTTTGTGTGGTTATTTCAGGTGTAAGTTAGCCGGGTGGCAGGGACAAACAAGGGGCCCCTGCTCCTTGTAACAAAAGACAGTGCTCCTAATAAATTTTTTTTTTTTGAGACAGGGTTTCTCTGTGTGGTCCTGGCTGTCCTCAAACTCACTCTGTAGACCAGACTGGCTTGAACTCACTGAGATTCTCCTGCCTCTGCCTTCCAAATGCTGGGATTAAAGGTGCGTGCCACCACCGCCCAGCTCCTAGTAACTCTTAACAAGGTAGAAAAAAAACCTGTTTGGTTAACCCAAAGGAGATTTTAGATTTTGTGTTTTACAGCCTGCTCTCAAAAGAATGTAAATCTTGTGACAATTCTTGCATTGTTCACTGTAATAGAATCCAGCTTTTACATATGGATTTACATTATTAATCAATATTGATTTTCTTCTTGTTTTTTCCCAATTAAAAACATAACTTATTTTTTAAGACAGGGCCCAGTCTGACCTTGAACTCTCAATTCTCCTGACTCTACCTTCAAGTGCTAGGATTATTTGACATGAATCACTACACTTGGTTTCTGTGGAATTAAACCCAAGGCTTTGTGCATGCAAAGCAAACACTCCTATCAACTGAGCTATAGTCCCTGCCATGTATCAGGAAGATAAAAAACCCAGCTCCAGAAAGGTCACACTTACAACGCTATCACAGTGGTGATCAGTCTGACCACAATGTACTGCGATACTCCTAGTTTGCAGCGATAAATCATCACTCTGCAAGAGAAGAGAACACCAAAGTTCAACTACTCAGTGGCATCAGAGCATCTCAAAGCCTCCAAATTACAGTCACTCACAAGGTGCAGAACAGAAGGAGTAGAAAGTACTGGGACCTTGGTCTTTCCTTGTTTCCCAATCTTGCCATGACATACCTCTAATCAACAGGACCCAATGATTTGATCAACAGTCCAAATAAACCCGATTATCTCAGAATTTTTTGCTAGAAGTGACAATGAAAGCTCTAACACACACACACTCCAGGAGAGAAACTGAGGCACAGATCAACTGTGCATATGTACCTGTGTATATGTAAGAATGTGTTCACAGAAAGATTTCCTGGGACAGGGGAACCACCGAGGGTGGCAGCATATTCTCCAGGTTGTGGCCTGGACTGCACAGAGGAAGCGGTGAGCTGAGCACCGGCTTTCCTCGACCTCCTGACAGCAGGTGCACCGGCCACGTGCCTTCCCACCACAATGGACTGGCCCCACAAACTCTGCTCCTTACTTGCTCTTGTCAGTCATTTTGTCCCAGCAGCGAGACAATTAACTGTGTGATCACAGACAAGATCACGGAGGTTCCTATTCCCAGCTGTAAAAGGATGCTGACTAAATGTTTTCTAAGGTTTTCTCCTACAATACACTGATGAACCTTTCTACCTGAGTGATCGCTTGCAACATAAAAAGAAAACAAAACAACAATAAAAACAGCTGACTGATATTTAAAGCCCACGCGGAGGCTCACTAAAGACAAACATACTTACTCTCCCATAGGCCAGGGTGGACAACAGCACAGAGGAGGGAGATGCTGTTGCTGATCTTTACCTTCCAGGTGTAGCATCACGTTGGCGAATCGGAGCCTTAGGTGATTGTTTAAAAATACCATTAGACTATAAATCACCAAAGCTTCGTAGCAGTCCCTCAAGGTGTCCAGGTTGATGGCGGTTTTTGGGTTTTTTAAAGCTAACCACTATGAGAAAACAAGACATTAAAGACCTGTCGCCCACATAACGTGAATTCACCCCACTCACAGAAGCTAACTCTAGAGCCCGGAGATCGCGTCCCATGCTTGCTGCAAACTGACATAATCCAGAATGGATTCACTTGGGGAGGAGGCCAGGGAATGCAAGGCTGCATCCCATCACTGAGCTGCATCCCCAGCCCCGTAACACATGCCTTAATGTGCAACAAGCAGCTTCAATACAGCTAACAGAAAAGGTAGTGCTGGGGTAAATAAGGAATATAAAAGAGAAGTTCATTAATTGCATTCTTAAGTTATCTGAAATTAAGGGAAAAATGATCACAGAAAATACTCCTGAAGAGATCTGTATGTGCGTGTGTGTCTTTCTTGTTTCTTTATCAGACAGGATCTATGTAACCTGGATATTTTGGAACTCACTAGGTAGACCAGGCTGGCCTCTACCTCACAGAGTTCCACCTGACATATGGGATTAAAGGTGTGCACATGGCTAAAGCCATTTTCTTTATAACTAACCACCAGAGTAGTTACATCCTGTGGAAAGTCTTTTGTCCTTTCCGTTTTCTCCTCTTTGGGGCGCGGCGAGGTGACAAATAAAATACTTAATAACGGAAAAGCACGATAGTGATCCTTGAGAATCTGCATCTATGGGTTCAGCCAACCCCGGAGCAGATACACGTAAAACAGCTCCTGACCCCAGGTCTGCACTCTGGAACTCACTATACAGACCAGGCTGGTCTTGAACTCATGAAGGTTCTCTTACCTGCACCCCTATCTCCTCAACCTCCAGGGCTGTCACTATTATTAATTCAAGCATATATTAAAGAGTAGTGGTGAGAGATGCATCCCTGCAATATGCCTACCAATGTCTTTCAGACAATCGTAGGAAAAGAGCTACACATTAAAAATATTTGAAACAGCTTCATCTTTCATTACATTATCTTCTTTGCTAACATTGAAAAAAAAGTGAGCTTAGGCAGTTGCAGTGGTCTAGGCCTTTAATCCCAGCAGCACTAGGGAGACAGACAAGTTCTGTGGGGCAATGGTCTGTACCCTGTCAATTGTATTTTCATAAAGCAGGAAGTATAGGTTGGACGACAAGAACTGGAGAATTCTGGGAAGAGGAGAGATTCAGTCTGCAGTCCTCACTCAGCTGCAGAGGAAGCAAGAGGAAACTGCCTCACTGATATAACGTACTGAGCCATGTGGCTAACACAGACAAGAATTACGAGCCAATATAAGATATAAGAATTAGTTAATAAGAAGCCTGAGATAATAAGCCAACCAGTTCATAATTAATGTAGAGTGCTGTGTGCTTCTTTGGGATTGAACAGCTGTAGGACTAGGGGAGACAGAAACCTCTGTCAAAAAACTGGGCGCCCTCTGTAAGTTCAGGGTCAACCTGGTCTCCAGAGTGAGTTCCAGGACAGCCAGAAATACAGTGAGACCCTTATCTCAAAAATAAAAAGAGAGAGAGAGGGAGAGGTATCTCTCCAGCCCAAGAATTGGTAATGCAATACAATAAAATATACTTACACTAGCCAAACTGTATATTGGGGCCATACAAAGGATCCTATCGAAAGTAAAACATATAATAACGTTTAATATCATGTTTATGAATTATGTCAGTCAACACTAGTAGTAGCAAATATATTAAGATTTGACCTTATAATAGGTTTCTGAAGTTCTGGTTGCGTGTAATGCACTAAGTGCTGCACAATCCCCCATGAGGACACAAGGATTGTCAACACCAGAAAGATAAGCGCGATGGACCATGCTTTAGTCTGTATTCCAACCTTGAAAAACAAAAGAATGCATTAGTTTAGATTCTGATATTAAAACTATAAAGGTCAATATTTATTTCTTCTGTTTCCACTTGATTTGTAATCCGCTTGGCATTTCCAAAATAAGTAGTAGGAATTTTTAAAAAAGATTTACTTTTTAAAAAATTCTACGTATGTTTGTGTCTGTGTGGGGGTATGTGCATGTGTGGGTATCTGCTGAGGCCAGAAGAGGGCGCTAGAGTCCTTGCACCTGGAGTTAGGGGGTGAGAGAGCACACACCTTTAGTCTCAAAGACTTGGGAGGCTCCAGGACAACCAACAAAAGAACCCTCCTCGAACAAAACAAAACATCCCCACACTATCTCTGCCCACTGCCATGGTGTCTGAGTGAAGCCCAGCACCCTATGTGCCGAGGACTGATGCAGACCAAGTGTCCTCACAGAGTGCTGCTAGGAGGAAAGTTCCATGTCGAGCAGTTATAAACCACGCGACAGGAAAAACGAGTCACCACAGCCACCGCTGTGGGCACTTCTCCCTGCCTCGGTGTCCTCATCCACAGAGGGAATCTCCTGTACTCGGAGATTCCTCAGAGGGTTCAATAAAATCATAGTTACAGAATGAATGAGAGTGATCTTGAGGAAATGCTCTAGCTAATACCTCTTACCTTAAACACAAAACAAAGTCTTTGCAATCCCAGTCTTCTCTGCCCATTGTGCTATCATTTCTCAGGGCCCTTCAGAGTTAAATCTTCAAAACTCAAAGATTCTCCGGATTCTAAGCTTCCACCACACATTCCCACCTAAACAATTCTGTTCTGACTTTAGTCCTTCAACTGCAGTGAAATCACTGAGCTCCCAATGACCTTTCTACTTGTGAAACGTGATAGACAGGGTGGCAACAATGGACACCAGTCAAAATGTTCCCCAAACCCTCCTTCCCGGGCATTCACTTTGTTCTTTGTAATTTCCTGTGAAATACTGGTGCCAGGTCCTTTGCCATTGTTCCTTCTCCGCGTTCCTGATCTAAAGCATTCTTTATCTGAGGACATTGACTGAAGTCTAACCACACCTAGGAGTACACTTAGGGGAGTACCTAGGTGTGCTCCCCTTTCAGAGGTTGAGGCCTAACCTCTAATGCAAACGGCCTTATTTGGGCATAAGGCTGATGGGAAGTGAGTTAGGTGAAATGAGGTCATAGTCTCATAGGGCTGGTGATCATAAAATGAGATGGGCAACAACCTGAGGATTCAGCAAAAGCATGGCCACCTGTGACCTGAGAGCACCCTCCCCAGAGAGCAACCCCTCTGGCCCCCATGATATCTGACTCCAAAATAGTTTTCAGGACTGTGAATAGATAAATTCCTGTTGAAGACACTCAGTTCATAAACATGTGCTTTCACGTGTGTGAGTGCAGGTGTGGGTACAGGTGTGCATGTGTGAGTGCACGTGTGCAGGTCAGAGGACAACTCTGGGAAATCAGCTCTCCTCCCACCTTGTGAGCCAGGGTCTGTCTTGTTTCTGCTGCTGTGCTGCATATGCTAGGCCAGATGGCTGGCAAGCTTCTAGGAAATTATGTGTCTACCTTTCTCTTGTCATGGACATCGTTCATGTTGGCTATGGACTCGGGGTCAGGCTTTCCTGGCTATTGCGTTACCTGCTGAGCCATCTTCACAGTCCAGTTTATGGCATTTTCTTAGGGCAGAGAGAGCAGACAAAACAAGACAAGTAACTGCAGCTGTAGCGGCTCTGAGGTCTAGACTTGCATGTCCAGTGCAGTATGACAGGCTCACCTGCACACCCTCCACTAGACATCCCTATTGGAACTTGAGGGACTTGACTTGGGGAGTTGACAGTTTACACTGCAGATCAGAATTGGTCTGAAAGGTTAGAGGCGCTTTGAAACTGCAGCTCACAACTAAGAGAAGTCTTAAGCAGAAAGGGTACACATTTCACTTACCTTTCTATACTATAGTCCAAGGACTACTAAATGAGGAAATTATATTTATATTAAGATTGCTATACCCAAATATGGACAACAAATTTCAAATAACCTAAAAACTTAACAAATGAGAACTATTTAATGTCATATTTTAATAGCCTGAACTAGCTAAATGGACTATAAGAGAAGCCAATAAAAGTTTAGTGAACAAAAGCACCCTACAAATATGTCTAGACACATTGTTTAACTAAAATATTTTTCACAATCAAAGGGGGGAGTCATCTACATGGTATGTCATAACTCTTCCAAAATAAGTGTTTCTCAATAAAAGTACTTTCTGGTTATTAATTAATTAATCAATAATTCTAAGTTCCTTTTATACACATAGATATGTTAGGTATGCAGCTTGCAATGCTTTACTAATGTCACAGCATGACATCAACAAATAATGAAGGGTGGGTCAGAGAGATGGCTCCGCTAAGGTGCTTGCCTCCAACACTGCACTGACCCCTTGCACTCAGTCCTCACTCTGCACTCATGAAGGAAGGAGAGAACCAACTCCCCCAACTTGTCTGTTCTTTGACCTCCACAACCGGGCCATTCCGTGAAAACACCAACAAATACATTTAAGAAAAGAAAGAAAGGAAGGGAGGGAAGGAGGGAAGAAGGGAAGGAGGGAGGAAGAACAAATGAATACACAAGGAACTTTAGTAAAACTTTTCCCTTGACTGAGAAAGGAAGAAAGGAAGGAAGGAAGGAAGGAAGGAAGGAAGGAAGGAAGGAAGGAAG